TTACTCTATCAGCGAGGTCAATTCGACTTCCTCTTCTTGGGATTCCTCGCACTCTTGTGAGAATTACGGTAACTAGCGGGGATTGGGACATACATACTAGAATATTCAGGTAATGGTGAAGCAACTTGTGCTGCTACGACTTCCAGCATTTTTATAGATAGCATAGTAAGAGTGGAAGAGATGAATCTAGGCTTTGCTCGGCATATCGCAATCAAAACAAATCTGGCGCTTACGTCGCTGGGGGGGGGGGAACACTGAAGTCAGTGAGCCACTTGAAGAACTTGGAATTAAATCTTAGAGAGGGGAAGGGATTCTGGGAGAGGAAGTGAACAACTTTTGCTCTGCCTAGCATTTCTAGCCTCTCTTGGACTCACGATTAGTCCTAGTGTCACCTACCAGCCACTTTTGAGTGACCTGTTTTAAATGTCCCCCTTGGGTCCATGAGCGCCCTCAGTCTTCCCTACCAGTTTTCACTCATATCATTACTGGAAAAAAAGAGTCAGTGAAACTTTTGGCGCCTTTCTTTCGCGTCACTCTTCTTGACTTTGTTGAAGTGAAAGCTTTGACCGCTGTTCTCTTGGTCGTTAATTATGTTCCGCTTTTATTTGTAAGGTATGGCATAATTTTGGTGTGCCTATTTTACCCATAGGTGGGAAATAACTGATAAAAATAAATATTACCTCTAGCATCACGTCGTTGGGGCGAAGACATCCAACCATCTCCATTGTGACTGTCAGAAATAGAAGTGACTGGGGAGGAAGTAATTGAACTGCTGAGGTGCACTGGCTGACCCGATGTGGTCGTTGTGCTGAAACGGACCATGATTTTTGAGTTTTTCTAAGAACTATAGGCCTATATAACCATCGCTTCTCTGCGTACCTGAGTGAGGAACGTCCCGTATGACGATCTAGCGGTGGCTGAAAGCGTGCCCCATTTCGACATTGCTCTCTGAATCGGCCATCGACGGCTGCGATGTGTGCCCTATAACGACCCTATATATCAAAGGAATCACAAGAATTGCTGATGATAAATTGCACTCGTCGATCGCCCTCGTCTCTACTATTCCCCCGATTCATGCGGAAATCATAAAAAGCCGTTACGTTGCTCAAGCACCTGTGTGGATCCGGTATCGGCGACGTTAATTGCGGTCGGATTATGCATTTGAGGACGCTCGAGATCGATACACGGAGGGAAAAGGTGTGGAGATTGCCGAAGCGGTCGCGCAAGAAGCACCTGGTTTCTCGATGAGGACCGTTGTCGCCGATCTCGCTCTTAAATTGCCCCCAAAAGGAGGTTTGAAGTGCGAGAAAGTGAAAGAGGACAACGGACAGTAAGCGGATTCAATTACGAACGGACAGTTCCGGGCCCTTAGTTCTTCTTCGTTCGATTTGCAAGACTGGTCACGGTCGTGGAAAAACCAACACCTGATCGTTCCCTTATGAAGTGATTGCAGTGAGAGAAAGCGATAGTTCCAAAATCTAATATCTCACGGCTTTTGTGTAAAACTGAAATGCCAGTGAAAGTAGGACAACTGATACTGTTCGTTGGTTGGAGAAATCGATGTAGAATAGCTAGTTGATGGTAAGAGCACCAGGAGAGGAAAGAAGGATTTGATTTTGAAAGAGATTTCTAACAAAATCTTTACGATAATGCAAATATTGTAAAAGTTTCTTTCACGGTAAAAATTAGCTTTTTAATGATATTCGTGGATATTTACTAATTATTATTGTTTACTGTGATTACTGTTATTGTACATAATACCACAATAAAAATAGGAATCATAGCCA